GTGGGACTCAATCCCAGGACTCCAGGATCATGACCTGAGCCAAAGGCATATGCTCAACCACTGAGCCACCCAGGCACCCCACCTGGAAAATTTTAAATGCACTGACCCCTTTAACACAGCTCACTGACTAGAAGGCCCCTGAGTGTATGGTAAATGTTCATACCTTTGGATGTCTGAGGACCTCATAAATTTGGCAAAAGAGTTCATAACATGAGCAAAATCTACAAAGGAATTAGAGGAATTAGAAGCTGCACAAGCAGCTACAGTACTATCTGGGTAGCTATTAATAAAACACTGTATGCAAGCTTGTCTTCTGAGAATGGTGCCATCAGAAACTAAATGGCCAGCCTCTGAGCTAAATTCAGGTTTGGGACTCCTTAGCCAGAAGTATTCTAAAAAAATCTGTTCTAGAAAAACTGACAGGACCCGAACTGACCATTGAAAATAAAGAACAATCTGATGTCCACAAGGAAAAACTGAAAGACACATCTGAGGGAAACTTGGAAAGAGAAGTGCACCCAAGACCGTCTTCAAAGTCATGGGTGTGGCTGCCCCACCCCCTCCACCCTCATTGCCAGAGATCTGAGGCTCCTGGGAATCCATTTACATCAAGCGAGGAACAACGTGCAGGGTTTACTAGTAGCACCACAGGACTGTGTGTTACAAAAAGGAGGTGAGAAAGGGAGGGAGGGAGGGAAGGAAGTAGGAAGGGAGGGAGGGGTGGGAGTGGGGAGAAGATAGAATGAAGCCAAACTCCTAGTGTTAAAATTCTCAACTCTGAAATCTCCCAAAGAAGGTGGAGAAACTATAAATAGGGAAGAATGGAATTTGTGAAAGATCAAAATCTACAAATCTTGCTAATGCAGATCAGGACAAAGCGGGGAGGGGGATGAAACGTCTTGTGTTGTCCCTCATCATCTGCACAGTAGATGGCACCCAAGTCAAACACTTCATAGACTTGATGCTTGCATCTGAAAATTCCTCCAACAGAATTGTCCTGTCTTCTCTTTTTGGCTATGTTTCCCCACTCTGTTTGCTCCTATCTTGGCACCAACCTCAGAGCACCATGTATTTCTCTCAGCCCCTTCCTCTCTTATCAGCCTATTGAGTAGAGATCTTTGCAGAACAGGGTTATAGTGTATTACATACTAGATAGGTTCTTTCTGAATGTAAATTTTCTCTCAGAGGCCCTGACAGAGGCACCCTATTCTAAATGTTATACTGCAGTGATTCGTCAGTAAGAGATTCAACAGGAAATTCCTGCCTCTGTGTCTTTCCCCTTTTGATCTCATATGTTAATAAGGGGTTGCTCTTGGTTAAAATTATTATTTTTTATATTTTTTAAAGATTTTATTTATTTATGAGAGACACACACACACAGAGAGAGAGAGAGAGGCAGAGACACAGAGGGAGAAGCAGACTCCATGCAGGGAGCCTGATGTGGGACTTGATCCCAGGACTCCAGGATTAGGCCCTGGACTGAAGGTGGCACTAAACCACTGAGCCACCGGGCTGTCCCAGCTCTTGGTTAAAATTAAACTAAACCCAGATAAGCTTCTTCCAAAATTGCCCCAAAAACCATTACAAAAGGAGTGTGTCTGCCACAAATGAAATCTGTCCCACAAAAAAGATTGACTTTTTGCCAAAAGTCCTTGCCATAGTTTAACTCAGGCATTCAAGGAGTTAGCCAATATTTTCCCCCAAACAGCTCTGTGCTATCATGCCACACTATTGTCTTCAGCTGGGTCTTCCTAGTCTGGCCACGGTTCTGTCCAGTATGCCAACAAGTGCTGAATATGGCTGGTGGGGGTGCCTGGGTGGCTGGGGTCATGATCCCAGCATCCTGGAATTGAGCCCTGGGTCAGGATCCCTGATGAGCCTAGAGTCTGCTTCTCCCTCTGCCTGCCCCTCCCCCTGCTCATGCTCTCTCTTGCTCAAATAAATAAATAAAACCTTTTTTAAAAAACTGTGACACTGGGGCAGCCCCGGTGGCTCAGCGGTTTGGCGCTGCCTTCAGTCCAGGGCGTGATCCTGGAGACCCCAGATCAAGTCCCACATCGGGCTCCCTGCATGGAGCCTGCTTCTCCCTCTGCCTGTGTCTCTGCCTCTCTCTCTCTCTCTCTCTCTCTCTCTCTCTCTGTGTGTGTGTGTGTCTCTCATGAATAAAATCTTAAAAAAAAAATCTATGACACTGTAATGCTCTTCCTTCTTCTCAATTCCCCTTCATGCTTCCTACTCTCCTAACCCAAGGTCTCCACTATACTCCAACTAGGAGTCCTGAGGCACATTCTGACAGACCCCTGTCTCTTCTCCTATGTTCTCTAAATAAATTTTGACGTTATTGAGTTTCTTAGCCTCTCCCTCCATAAGGGTATGTAAATGAGACCTGTAATTCTGGTTCTCATCTCCAGCTCATGGTGGCCAGTAAGCTTCTAAACAAAATGATTATATTTACCTTGACTCCGTTATCTAAAACACGTTATTCTTAATTGTGTCACCACACCTGCCAGCTTCATGAATCTCGGCTTTCTAGATATCTGTTTCAGTCAGGTTCTCTCCAGGAAAACAGGAATTACTTTGAGTATTTTCAGCAGAGGAATTTAATACAGTGAATTGGCCAAACAGGGGATGGAGGCACTGAGGGTCGAGCAGGGCATCGTGTGGTGATGCCCCAGGTCAGCAGCAAAAAGTAGCCATGCCCACCCCTTTACTGGAAAGAAAAGGCAAGAGGTGAGGCTCTCAGAGCCCAGGGAAGGAATCACCAAAGAAAACTGGAATCAGTGGGTCTGACTGGCGGGGACTAAGGCTGGGGCTGGGGAGGTGGAGGTGCAGTTCCTGCCATGGGGGCTGGCCAAGGCAGGGGGACAGGGGAGAAAGATACCTGTAGAGGCTGCTTTTAGGCAATAGGCCTGACCAATGGAAACCTGAGCAGGGCAAAAAGGCCCACAGTGACCACTGAGCAGACACGCACAGGTTCATTAAGCCATAGGCCTTAACTGACCAAGTACAACCAGGTGCAGTCCCTAAGATTATCAAAAAAGGAAAAAATTCCATCTGTTCCCAACTCCCTCACTCTGTCCTATAACTATAGCCCCTCGCTACCACCTCGCGGCACACAGTCTCTCCTCTGCTATCCTGCTCACTGATCCCTTGTGGCGTATTCAATAAACCTCTATCTCTTTTGTTCCTCCTCGGGTAAATTCTTTCAGCATCCATGCTACCAGCTGCCAGCCCCCACCCACTTGAGATGCCCACAAGAGTTCTCTCTTCTCATCTTCCAGCCTCCTGCCCATGTCCCCCCACCCCACCCTCTAAGCTGACTCAAACCCAAAGGTAGCTGACACTGAAGCCTGGCAAACAGTCTGCAAGTATCATTCCCCCTAAGTATAGAGCAGAGAAAGGGAGAGAGGATGGCCAAGGCCCAATTCTTCCTACCTACCGCATACTACCCGACCCCAGTTCATGGATCAGGTGTCCTATGATATGCATAATACTTCCAAGTACTTATTTAGGGAGCCATTAGGATCTGTACCTCTGTAGCTGACTCTGGTAGAATAAAACTCCTGCTGTCATGGGGCTTTATATTCCAGTCTACTCCACAAAGGATGGAGTTTTGTCTTTGTTCTCAATGCTTCTTGGAACGAAGGATCTGTTCTAAACCCCAAGCTAAAGCTCAGCCAGCTGCTGGAAGAGCCCCTTTCTTTTACCACTGCTTACTGCAAGGTGGGCAGCATTCCGGAGAGAATCCCTGAGGTCATTTGGCTGCTTCAAGGCAATTCTGCAACCTGCAGCATTGCTTAGTCCTTGATCCTAAAGGTGAGGCCAGAGAAATCCTGTTCCTTGAGGAGGGTCATCTGCTTCACTCAGTCTACCTATTCAAACACTCATCTCTTCCAGAAACACCCTCCCAAATACACCTGGAAATAACGTTTAACCAAGACTCTGGCGTTCCCAAGATCCAGTCAAGTTGACACATAAAAAGAGCCATCCCCCCCCCCCCCGCCAAAAAAAAGAGCCATCACACCAGCCAAAGAACTCAAGTAATAATCGACTTACAAGCAGAACACAGGGCAGCCCTGGTGGCGCAGCGGTTTAGGGCCCCCTGGAGCTCAGGGTGTGATCCTGGAGATCCGGGATCGAGTCCCACGTTGGGCTCCCTGCATGGAGCCTGCTTCTGTCTCTGCCTCTCTCACTCTCTCTGAATAAATAAATAAATAATCTTTAAAAAAATTTAAAACCAAGCAGAACACAATTTACCTGGTGATGGAAAAGTGAAGAGTAACTTTACAGTGAAGAAATCTGGAAAAGAAAACACCTAAAATAGTGATTAAACCTAACAGCAACATCATGAGCCCTTTGATGTGACGCAAGGGAAAAACCCCATGAATTTCGGGATCTCCTCACCAGAAATTCAGAACTTCAGTGCCCACGCCAAACTGAGAGCCACTCTACAAAAGAACTGATGACTTACCTACTCTTCAAAATGTCCAAGTCACAGGAGACAAGGAAAGTCTAAGATGCTGACAGTTTGGAGGAGACCAAGGAGATGTAATAAGGAAGTGCATCATTTTGAATCATGGGACATAAAAGGGATACAAGTGGAAAACCTCGTGAAATCCGAATAAGGCTTCTAGTTTATTTAATAGCATTACACTAATGTTAATTTCCCAGTTCTGATCGTTGTACTATGGTTATGTAAGAGGATCATATTTGGGGAGGTTGAGTGAAGGGTATATGGAAACTCTGTTTTTGAAATTCTAAGGCTAAATTTATTTCAAAATTAATTTTTAAAAAATATGGAGGGACACCTGGGTGGCTCAGCCATTGGGTGTGTCTGCCTTCGGCCCAGGGCATGGTCCTGGAGACCTGGGATCGAGTCCTGCGTCAGCTCCCTGCATGGAGCCTGCTTCTCCTTCTGCCTGTGTCTCTGCCTCTCTCTGCCTCTCTCTGTGTCTCTCATGAATAAATAAATAAGATCTTTTAAAAATATAATAAAAATTAAAAATATGGAATGCTTCATGAACGTGCACGTCATCCTCATGCACAGGGGCCACACTAATCTTCTCTGTATCGTTCTAATTTTAGTATAGGTGCTGCCAAAGCAAGCACTCAAGATTTTTTTTTTTAAGGCTTACACTTAATCGATCCCCACAAGTTTGTGTGTGAGGTGACCAACGGGAAAAGGTTACGGTAGAACGAGAGTATAGTCAGAGAGTATAGTATAGACTATAGTATAGTATAGTCTCTGCCTCACGTTTTGCTGAGGAATGTGCAAAAGGAAGATTATATATAGCCTTGAAAGCTTCTGGAAGCCACTTCTGAATGCAGCCTATGCTGCAATCTACACTGCAGTCCAGTCTACACTACAGAGAAGAGAACCAACAAAAAGAAACCTCTCTTTAGTGAAAGCTTCTAGACTACTGTGTTCTGCCTGACCCAAAGCCTGTCCCCTTACAATGTTCTCTCTCCAACTCAGGCAAATAATGTCTCTGTAACAATATCCTTTTTAATGACCCAGTCATTTTTTTAAGGCAGAGTTTTTAAAAGTCCTTTTTAAAGATTTTATTTATTTATTCATGAGAGACACACAGAAAGAGGCAGAGACACAGGCAGAGGGAGAAGCAGGCTTCGTGCTGGAAGCCCGACACAGGACTCAATCCCAGGACCCCAGGATCACGCCCTAAGCCAAAAGCAGACACTCAACCACTAAGCCACCCAGGCGCCCCGAGTTTTTTAAAGTTTTGTTACACTTATGTTTTTTTTTTTTGTTTTTTGTTTTTTCTAACTGTAAATGGGAATAGGTTTTTGTATTTATAAACACTGTCAGATTAAAGACTTGTTAATGTTAGTGGATCTTATTCAGGAATTGGACTTAGCAATCTGAAGAGCTTCCTTTGCCCCAACTGCAAATTATAGCTTTGAATTATATACTTCATTAAATAATAATGTGGTTTGGTTTCCTTTGCCTTATATTGCATTTACCCCAGTAACTATATTTATACCTATTTATTCAGGTTTTTTTTTTGTGTTTTTTTTTTTTAAGTATGTATGTATGTATAGGAGAGAGCATGGGGTTAGGGGTGTAGAGGAGGGAGAGGGATAGAATCTCCCAAGCAGACTCCATGTGGAGCGCAGAACCTAACCCAGGGCTGGATCTCATGACCCTGAGATCCTTGGGCCAAAACCAAGGAGTGGACATTCAACAGATTGAGCCACCCGGACGTCCCTCTCTGGTTGTTTTTAAAAAGAAAAGACACACAGGAACTCATGACCCTCAGATCAAGACCTGCAAGAGCTGGATGTTTAACCCAGACACCCCTTGAATTCTTTTTGAACATCTAATGATCAACACGCTGATTCTATAATCCAACACTATCAAACATCATGATAAATTGGGATGAATTCTCAGCTTCAAGGATTGCTTCCCTTTAGTCAACTTGACTGTAAGTTGTTTTTTTAAGACTGTATTTTTTTTTTGAGATTTTATTTATTTATTCACAAGAGACACAGAAAGAGAGGCAGAGACACAGGCAGAGGGAGAAACAGGCTCCATGCAAGGAGCCCAGTGTGGGACTCGATCTCGAATCCCTCCAGGATCATGCCCTGAGCCAAAGGCAGATAGATGCTCAACCACTGAGTCACCCAGGTGTTCCCTTAAGACTGTATTTTTAAGAAATCTCTACACTCAACTGGGGCTCAAATGCATGACCCTGAGATAAAAAGTCACATGCTCCACTAATTGAGCCACCCAGGTGCCCCTGACTATAAGTTTCTTAATCCACACAACTGAAAAAGTGGCATTGCACGGAGTCTAAATGCAAGACCTGTGGGAGAACTAGCCTCCCACTCTAACTTCCTGAAGGTTTACAGCAACTTGTAGAGGCCAAAACAATTCTGTGAAGCGGCAGGAATGTGTGAGATTAGCCTAATAATAAGATGAACCAAATTGTAAGAAGTAAAATTAGGCACTCCTGCCCCCGCCCACCTAAAGCACTCTGCTCTAGGTACATTCCTCAAAGTACAACAGTAACTTTTTCTGGTTTGGAGCCTTGTAAATAATACTGGTTTCTTGACTTGTCTGTAGGACAGGACTCCCTTCTTCCCATTTTGATGAGTTGTAATTTGTAAAATTTTGAGGAGTAACGGCATTAATGACTATTTTGTTCCTTCCTTAATTTTTAGTTCATAAAAGTCAGTTTGGAAAACTCACAATTTTTATTCAAGGAGATAATCCTTTTTTAAGCCCTTTTTGAAATGCCATTTGACTAATTCTATCATTTTGATAGAGATTTACTCATTTGACTACTTGCTGATGTTGAATTGGCCTGCTTTACTTGCCACTTGCTCCCTCATTTAGATAAAAATAAGCTCTGATGCATTTTCCCCCACAGTATGACATTTCTCTCTCAAGAGTCTTTGCAGAACACTTGTCCTGGAAATAATCCATCATCAACTACCTTCTATTTGTGAGCAGTTTTGAATTTCTGGCTCATCACTGTTTTTTTCTGTCTTGGATTTTGAAACATCTGTTCTGGTTTATTTAAGCTCATGGACCAAGGAACCATTACATTACACATCAGCAGAGCGCTTCTTTGAGCACAGGGAAGGATAGCACTTCCCAGGCATCCAGTCATGAGGAGGAATGCAGCCAGGACCTGGGGAGCCAGTATCTCTCCCTCAGTTCCTGACCCTCTCTGCCCCCAGATCCACAGCTGAGCTCGCCCACTCCTGAATGATGCTCCTGGCAAACCAGGGCCAGATCTGAAAATTCTGGGTTATTTTAGGTTTTCTGGGTCCTTTTTATTTTTTCTCCACCCTTTCTTTTTTTTTCCTTTCCTTGTTGGAACTTATTTTTTTTTTTTTAGATATTTATTTATTTGAAAGAGTGAGTGAGCCAGAAAGAGAGCACGAAGTGGGGGGGAGGGGCGCGAGGCAGAGGGAGAGGGAGAAGCAGATTCCCTGCTGAGCTGAGCAGGCCAAAGCCAGGGCTCATCCCAGGACCCTGGGATCATGACCTGAGCCCAAGGCAGACCCTCCACCGACTGAGCCACCCAGGCGTCCCTGAACTTACTATTCTCTTAATGGAATTAATCTTAAATTTGAAGTTGTTCTTCAGCCCTGTAAATTTCCAGCTTCCAGACAGGGGATGGATAGTAGTAATTCCAGTCCTGTCCCAGGAAATGTTGAATGAGGACCAGTACAAGGGCAATAAGAGGAGTTCGAGGCTGATCGTGATTAATGAGAGGGCTTGAGACACACGGAGTAGGAAATACTTTCTAACCTTTGCCAGAAATGACTTAAGCAGGACAAAAAAACTTCCATTGAGAAACTCTGCTCTAGGCTATTATCCTGTGTAACAGAATATAGAAATCCTACAGAAAATATCACAAAACTACTGTGGTTTACAAAATCAATACACACACACACACACAAGTGTTAAATAACAGAAAGGATTATTCAGTGTTAAGGAAACCTGACCTTTTAATTTACACAATTAGGGAGATCCTTCCAGAAGTAATTAGGCAGGGAAACCACCAGCAACACATTCAAGGAATGTGTTCCCTCCCTTCCTCTCATCTGAACCCACCAGAAAGCTCTCTAAAGCAGACTTAACACATAGGCTCTGCTAACTCAAGAACTGGAACAGGCATGAATTGTACAAATGAAAAAGGAGACCTCATGCCTCGCTCCCTCATTTCCTGGCACAGTTATTCCCAGTTTTATTCCTGTTCTGTTTCCAGCTCTACCAACAATATGGATTTATTTCCTCAAGTACCCACTTTGAAATGATCTACTCCACTTTCTGCTTTTGAAGTCATTTATTAGTTTTGTTTTTAGAGGTGGTGACCTTTACTTTATATCTTCATGGATGCGGCATTCAAACAAAACAATACTGATACCTCTCTCTTTCGGTTAATCCACTGTTGTATCCAAGATTACGTATCCGAGAAACCACCAAGGAGCCAACACCCTTGCAAACACACAAGGGCTTATTTACAAGCTTGAGCTTGGGTCCAAGTATACCCAACACAGTGGTGCAGGGACTTGGACCCCGAGGTGGGTTTCAGCTTAGTTTTTATGGGATGGTCTAGGGGACCTCCTGAAGGGGTGGAGGAATTTCTCAAGTTCTGTTTACATTCTGATGTGGGGCTTTCAAGGGCATTGAGCTCTGTTCTTATTCTAATATGGGGCTTCCTGCCCTTGGCTTGGGCTCTATTCTCATTCTAATATGGGGCTTTCTAGGACTTTAAGCTGTAAACTGTTTTTTTTTTTTTTTTTTTTTTTTTTCTGTAACGGAAGTAATGTAAATTTCAGCTCTTATTCACAGGGGACAGGGGCCTGGGATGGCTGTACTTGTGCTTACGCTGAACTTAAAGTGGAATGGCCTTAATTTTCTTGGCCTCCACACCACTAAATTCAACTGCCTGAAATCCAATCTGTACTGGATTGGATGATTGGGGTGATTTTGGAAGTCTTGAAGGTTTCTTCCCATTTGTATTTTACCCAATTTTATCTTGTAGGTGAGTTAGCCATCGGGTAATTGTTTTCTGCTCTGCTATCCACCCTGTTATTGCTGTACTGAGAAAAGGCCATTAGTTTATTTGATGAGTTTCTAGCCCTACTTCCTAATATCCTGGTCATGTAAGCTACTTGCACTTAGAACTCCATGTATCTTCATATATGACTCATGAATCAAGATGGCTTTCACAATGCTCCCTGTGAGGAGCCTACTTCTCCCTCTGCCTATGTTTCTGCCTCTCTCTGTCTCTCATGAATAAATAAATGAAATCTTTAAAAAAAAAATGGTATTGCCACTATCTTCATTTGGAAGTTAAAGATGGTTATAAAAGATAATTATGAAAGAAAAACTGCTTGTTTTCAGTAGGGTGGCCTGCACCAGTCTCTCTATGCTCAGCTCGATACCGCCACTACTCCCTTCTGAGTCTGGGAACTACATTTTTCCAGAAACGCCTTCCAGATATGAGGCCCAGAGGTGAGGATGTGAATGACTCAGGGTTAACAGGTACCATCGTGTCTTCATGCAGTTCATCTTCTGACTCCTGTCAAAAGCAAGCAGACAGAAAACAGCAGGGGATAGTGACCTTCCA